GGGTGAAGAAGAAGAGCCTTGTCATTTGTCTGTGCTGGTGTACATCATCTTCTTCTTCTTTCTTACTTCTTCTTCTTCTTCTAATCCTCTCTCTCATGTCAAGTTCATTCATTTCTTTCTACAATTGGATGACATTGTACTATCTGATGGATGTGTATCTCGAAATTGATCAGGATCATAACACAGTCAACTTTCATGTCGGGCCACGTATACGCACGAATAAGGTTGGCTAACGTCTTCTGCCAACCAAAATGTCCCTCTGTCACTCTGTGTCATGGGATTCCCCTAAGATCGGGCTACGGATCTCTTCACTGTTGGAAATGCATAATAGATCGACTACACTAGTTTTCTCAAATAACAACCTGTCTGTAGTACGGTAATCTGGTTCTTAATTTGCAGACTCTTATACTCTTTTGAGGAGATCGCTATAAATAGGGTCCTGCACATAGGCTTCCTAACTTTCTGTTGCAGGTTTGTCCCTATATCCAAATAATGGACTATCGCTCCAAAGTAATCAACCCTCCTACTTAGAGCGTCCCCAACTACATTATACTTCCCTTTAACTGGTTTGAGCTCAAAGTCAAACTGATTTATCTCTGTGGCCCACCTAGTAAGCTTAGGTGTCATCTTGGCCTACGTCTTCAACCACCTCAGCTTCTCATGGTCTGAATAGACTTTAAAGGGTCTGCCAAGCAAGTAGTGTTTCCAGTGATCTAGTGCTTGCCTGATAGCGTAGAGTTCCCTCTCATATGTAGATGTTGCTACCTTCTCTGAAGGCATCCTAACAGACATGAACTTTACGGGTCTATACCCATTGTCGTCATCTTGTTGTAAACAGAACACCTATACCATACTGACTTGCTTCAGTGCTGACAACAAAAGGTAAGGACGGATCGGCTACCTTGAGGACTGGGTACTTTATCAAGGCCCTCTTTAGCTTCTTCAGGGCCAACGTACAGTCTTTATCCCACTCCCAGATTGCTTCTTTCTTTAGCAACCTGCGAAGGGGTGCAACGATGGTGGAGAAGTTCCTCACGAACTTTCTATAGTAGTTGGCTAAGCCTAGAAACGACCGCAACTTTGTCAATGTGCGGGGCGTTGACCAATCTCTAATCGCTGTTATCTTACTGTCCTCACGTTTTATGCCATTTCCATCTAAGACGTGGCCCAAGTACAGGACTTGCATCTTGGCCGACTCACACTTCTTCGCGTTGATCTTGAACTTAGCTTCCCTCAACTTCTCCAAGACCTGCCTCAGATGACCCTCATGCTCCTGGAGGGTCTTACTAAAAACTAGAATATCGTCTAGGTACACCACTACAAATCTATCTAACCATGACCTAAACAAATCATTCATACAACACTGGAACATAGTTGACGCATTGGTTAATCCAAAGGGCATCACTATAAACTCGTAATGCCCATATCTGGTCCTGAATGTCGTCTTATATTGGTCATCAGGATGAACCTCTATCTGACGATAACCAGACTTAAAATCTATCTTGGAGAAGTACTTGCAACTCTGCACTCGATCTAACAGATCATCTATACGGGGCAATGGTTCTGCATTCTTCACGGTGACAGCGTTAAGACCCCTATAGTCTATGCACATTCTAAGCTCTCCTTCCTTCTTGAGGACAAAAAGAACAAGTGTTCCAAACGGAGACGAACTGGGCCTAATCCAACCTTTTTCTAGGAGCTCATCTAACTGCTTGCGCAACTCTTTTAACTCTCCTGGGGACATTCTATACATGGCTCCCTTCGGAGTTCTACTACCAGGTTCTACCTTGATGTGGTGTTGGATCGCCCGCGGCACTACTCCTGCAGGCGGCTTAGCTAAATCTGTATACTCTTCCACCCGCTTGGCAATAACTGGCCCCATGGGTTTCTCTTCCTTAGACTCACTGACAGGCCTAACATAGGCTACGAAAACCTGCTCTTCTAATTGCTCCTTCTTCATTAATCGCGCGAACGAGAGAGCACTAGGACAGCAATGTGCTAGAGAATTATCTACTCCTTTCACATGGAATAGGCGAGCGGTCTTAAATTCACTTGAAGGACTAGGGAACCTACACTCATGCTCTCTCAAATGGAGTGTGGCCCCTACTGCCTCTCCCCAGTCTATTCCTAGGACCATGTAAAATGGAAGGTTGGCCTCTACGAGGAGAGTCAGGGAATGGAGAACTCTTTCTACCTTCCCATTTTTCTCTAGGCGAAAGTACGCCTGGACTCCCTCTATGTAATCCTCGACTCACATAGTGTGATTGTCTGAGAGGATGCTGACTATAGGGTCTTCCAACTTTTGGACCTTCAGGTCCAACTTCAACTTCTGCAGCGCTTTTCTACTAATATAGTTGTGGGTGGCCCCACTATCTATGAGGGCCCCTACTCTGCCTCTAAAAACTTCTACATCTACCAGAACTAGTTTTCCCTTACCATCCTTCTTTATCTTGGCCCAGGCCGGCATCCTTTCTTTTAGCTCCTCTGCCAGACCTGTGAGGGAAGTGCCTAGAGAGACTCTAACACAATCAGTCTCTGGACAGCTATCTAAGCACAGGCCAACAACCCCGTCCAGAGACACATGTGGGTTGGGAGTTTCTCTGTGGTGCGCGCACTGTTCTCCACATGGTCTAGGGGTAAAGGCAGTTGCGACCCCTATCGGCGCTTGCCTTTTGCTGCTTGTGCAGCATACCTGGGTTCTCTACATTTGGGGCAGTATTTTATGATATGCCCTGGAGCACTGCAATAGACGCACTGACCCTGGTCTTCTCGTCTCTGCCACACAGTCTGTTCCAAGCCCAGATCTTCCCAGGGTTTACACTATGGTAGAATAGTGTGCCATTCACCCCTCTGGGAAGGTGAACGATTGGGACGAGGACGATTTTGCGGGTGACCTTGACCCCTACCTCCCTCTTGGCGGTTTCCTCTGCCGCCAACCCCCTGAGCGCCCTGTCCTCGACCACCAAAGGCCCGACCCCCTTGGCCCCGGCCTCCTCTTCCTTGCGGCCTCCCTCCAGCCGCGACAGCGGCATAAGTCTTCCCCTGACTCACACTACTATCCTCCTCCTCGAGGCCCCACTCAATCTGATTGTAGGGGACCTCTTCCATACCACCTTCATCTAATGTGAGCATCAAATGATCCTTGGCCCTGACTTGGCCAGAGATGGTACGGCCCTTCCATTTTTTGCCCTTGTCAAGGTCCTTATGCCAGAAAGTGGAAACTGGCATGGACTGCGCCTCGAAAGCTACCACTTCCCTACTCAAGATATCGTAGGTCATGGTGGGTTGTTTGCTCTTTTCAAAAAAGTGTCCGCGTAGAGGTTCGGGCATGGCACGATAAAACAAATTGACCAGTTGGGTCTCAGTGACCCCATGGTCTGGGACGATGACCAACTCGTCCATAATGCCTTTGAATGCCCTGGCACTCTTCCCCTGGCGAGAGTGGATAGTTTGCAGTTTGTCAGAGGCCCTGACACTACATATGACATTTGCAAACCTTTCGCGAAGCAGCCTGAAAAATTCAGGAAGGTGGGTGACTTTGGAGTAAGCTACCATATTATTCTCACATTGCGCGGCAAGGGCTAGCGATCTGGCGAAACTAGCAGCTTCGGCCCGAAGGGCATGCTCCTCCGGTAAAATATTTTGCAGGTGAACGTATGAATTAATGTTCGCTTCCCAGTTGTCGAAATTCTCTTCCTTCTTCCCACTGTAGGAATCAGGAAATTTTACTTTAACTGGCTCTCTACAGGGGCGAGCTTCCTCCTCCTTTGGAGCAGCAAGCTTGGCGCCTTCTATGGCGCCTGTGCAAAATCGTTCCGTGCTTTCTATTCTAGCCTTCATTTTTGTCCCCACATACATCATCATCTCTTGCGCAAATTATCTAAAACCCAGGCGTATGGGTTGTAAAGCGATGTCGAAGCCCCTAACCAATTGATATTGCTCCTATTGGGCCTTCGCCATAAGTTTTATATTCGTGGCCATGATTTCCATTTTCCCCAACGCATCTGCCTGGTTTTCCATCTGTTGTCTTTGCTCCTCCACCACCCTCAATTCCTTTGCCACCCTGTCTGTTGCATCCAGCCGTTGCTTCTTTTCTCTTGCGAGGCGCAACTTCCACTCCAACTTCTTCTCCTCCTCTATGGTCTGGCGGTGTAAGGGGTCTTCCTCTTCCTCTAACTCTTTCACCACCGCCTCTTGCTCTGCCCTGGTAACATACAACATCGCTTCCTCTTCGTCTCCAAGTGACAGATTTGCAACCCACTCTGATATCTTTTTCTCCATCCACTGGTCCCCCTGCTTCGTGCCACTCGATTCTCCCTTTTTCGTTCTGGTCCTTCTTTCTAAGGGGACCTCCTCCTCCACTTCCACTTCCTCTTTTTCTACCGCCTTCAACTTCTTCTCCTCTTCTTTTTTCAATTTCTCCATCTCCTCCTTAAGTTTCTTCTTCTTCGCCGCCTGCTCCTCCAGCAAGGCCAACTTCTTGGCCTGCTTGATCAACTTCTTCTTAACCTCTCTCTTTTCTCTATTTTAGGACGGCAGAGGCTTGCTCTTCCTGAGCCTTAGTGTACGGGGTGGTGCTCTTACCGCTACATGTGTCCACCATAGTGAAAGATGCACAATTGAGTGACAGTTCCACTCCTCACCACTTAGACTTCCACTGTTACGGACTCCACCAGGGCTCGATCCCCGGTCTATCTTTTTGCTGTTTCGGCTGCATCCCATTTTCGGCCTGGCACCCTTTTTCCAAACCCCTCCATTGGTACCGTAGGATTTTGGACAACTGGCGCCATGATGCAATTCAGGCGCCACTTTCAAATACCGCATTTTTCAGTTCTGCCCTTGGGGCCTTTGCAAAATTGCCCGTGGTACCGTACGTGTCACCGGTACTTATACCGGCTCCCGTACGATATGGGGACAAGTCTCTTACCAGTTTCCAGCTGTTGGACTCGTACTCAGTGTGACTTACTCTTTTGGCATTCGGGAATCCAAGGCTTCGACTTTGTGCCCTTGCCACTGTGTCTGCGTCCGACCCTCTGTCGTGTCGAGTGAGTAAGTGTGTGTGTGTGCTCTCACTCTCCCCCTCTCTCTCTCCCTCTCTCTCTCCTCTCCCTCGACTCTCCCTTAGCCTTGCACGTGTTACACTGGTATTGAAGCGGTTTGAACCTGCCGGACTCACCCTGCTTCGTCGCCATCACCTGACCATCATCAACATCATCGTCATGATCGTTGTCGTAGTGCCACGTCATCATCGTGATCGTCGCCATCGTGCCATGTCATCACCGTCATCGTCGCGATCGTCGTCGTCGTGCCGCGTCATCATTGTCACCGTCGCGATCATCGTCGTCGTGCCACGTCACCATCGCAGTGCCCGTCGTCCTCGTCTCCACGTCGTGCCATCCTCGTCATCGTCGTTGCTACCTCGCGCAGACAAGTAATCAACGACAATTTGTTTTTTTTTTTTTCTTCTTCTTCTTTTTCTTCTTCTTCTTTTTCTTCTTCTTTTTCTTCTTCTTCTTCTTCTTCTTCTTCTTCTTCTTCTTCTTCTTCTTCTTCTTCTTCTTCTTCTCCTTTTCATCTTGGTCTTCTTCTTTTCATCATCTTCTTCTTCTTCTTTTTATCTTCTTCTTCTTCTCC